GTAGGGAATCAAGGGGGGTGGGGGGACAAAAAGCAAAATATATAAGAAACAAGAAATAGAAAATTATTCATTGATGATAACATGTATGGAAATATCCTTGATTGAGTCAATATACAATGTATACTAGATGGAAAACCTCATTTTGTATACTGTATTTATGTACAATGACTGTAAATAAATTAATTAATTAATTTTTAAAAAGAAATGTCTCTAGGGGGTCACCAGGTGGCATAGTGGCATAGTAGTTAAGCCGCTGGGCTCCCACATGGTTGACTGAAGTTTGAGTCCTGGACCTGGTGACTTGCTATCTCTATGTCTCTCTTTCTGGTGAATGTATGTGCCCTGTAGCAAATTTTTCTTTTTATTTGAGAGAGAGAGATTTTCACTATAGGGCACGTGCACTCGCCAGACAGACAGAGAGAGACATAGAGACAGAAAGTGAGAAATCACCCTCCAGGGGTGATGGTCACGCCGCAATCCCTTCTCCTCCATTCTCCTCTCGGGATCTTGGGCATGCACGCATAGGCACCCAGCGTGAGTTTTAAGCCACCGGGTCCGGGACACGAACCGCGGTTGACTACATGGGAGGCCAGTGACATAGCCATTACTCTAACTGCTGGTTCCCGCCTATAGCAAATTTTTAAAAATTAATAATGATAAGTAAAATTTAAATAAATGATTCTTTAAAAAATGCATCAGGTGATTTCATCATCATTTGAACATAATAAAGTATATTTACACAAACATAGACAGTATAGCCTCCTATATAAATAGGCTATACTATTGGCTTATATGCTCCCTATGGGATCGCCATCATATAAGCAGTTGGTTTGACAATGACCAAAACATAGTTATTTGGCACAGAGCATATGACCATACAGGAAAAAATTTCTTGTCCTATTTTTTGTCCAAGATTTATAAGGAGACATAAAACATGTAAAAATGCATAAAATGTCATATAAATATTAGAAATTATTACAGATTTATGATTGTTCTTGTTGTTATTTTTACTTCCTTCCAGGCCCTAGTAGGTAGTATGTGTTGAGTTCTCCTTACAAATGGAATGATCATGTGGTCCCGTATATTTAGGGAAGAAACAGGTACTAGAAAGTCTTTAAATGTATCCATTCATTTATTCATTCAAAAAACACATATTAAGGTCCTATTTCGAGCCACACATTGTTCCAAACAGTCAATATTCAAAATGTATCCTCATCACCTCTCACAGTGACCATTAGATATTCTTTTTTTTTTAATTAAGCTACACAACATTTAGAAAGATATTTAAATGTCGAACCCGTTTCTGGGACAGCTATTGGCATGGTGGCTAAGGCAGCTGGATCCCACATGCCAACCATATAGTTCAAGTCCTGAACTCAGCAGCATGAGAAATAGGCTGGGCATTTATGCATGCATGCCTGAACCCCTGAAAAGAGAGTGGAGGAGAAGGGATTGCAGTGTGATCATTCACCTTGTGGGGGGTTTTCTTTCTTTCTCTCTTTTTGTATCTCTGGTGAGCATATATGCTTTATATTAAAATTTTAGAAATTTAAAAAGAAAACCTGTTTCTTCACATATAAAATTAACATGGCATTACTTATCAAATAAGGTAGAGTCAAATAGGATCAAGCCTGGGACCAGCAGTTGGTGTAATGGCTATGTCGCAGAACTCCCATGTAGCCAACCGTGGTTCAAGTTCCGCAACCAGTGGCTTAAACTCATGACGGACGCATGTACATGTGTGCCCAAGATCCCGAGAGGAGAATGGAGGCGAAAAGATTGCAGTGGGCCATCTCCCCTGGGGGGTGATTTCTCGCTTTCTATCTGTCTGTCTCTCTCTGTCTTTCTGGCGAACACACGCTCCTTGTAGCAAAAACCTCTCAAAAAAAAAAAAAAAAGAAAGAAAGAAAATAGGATCAAGTCTGTGAAAATGCAGTTATCAATACACATTCTTCAGATGTTCAAGCTATTCAGAGTATCCAACAATCCAAAAGATAGTGCAGGGATTTGAGAATCATTTTGTACATCATCTCCATAATGAGTTGGCTATCAAAGTAGTAGTAGTGATCTGGCTTTACTCTTCACTACAGAAAATCAAAAATAACTATCCAGTGCCAAAATTCTTGCCTAAAACGTGAAACTAAGGCTATGATGATTCTGAGACCACAGAGCAGTAAAAAACTATAGGGAGAGGTTGGTTAATGGGTACAGGATCACAAGATGTAAGTTCTGATGGGCTAGTAAGTAGAAGGGTGATTATGATCAATAACAATGCATCAAATATTTCAAAATAGCTATAAAAGAAGATTCTGAATGATCCTGCAACAAAGAAGCAATGAATATTTGAGATTTTGGATATGCTAAATACTGATTTAATCATCATATAACATATCTACATATATGAAAACATCACACAGTACACCATAAATACACCATTATTATATGCCAATTAGAAAAAAGTAAAATGAGGGGACCAGCAGTTAGCATAATGGCTATGTCACTGGACTCCCATGTAGTCGACTGCAGTTCGAGTCCCGGACCTGGTGGCTTAAAACTCACGCCCTGAGCATGTGTATGCGTGCCCAAGATCCCGAGAGGAGAATGGAGGAGAAGGGATTGCAGCATGGCCATTCCCCCTGGGGGGTGATTTCTCGCTTTCTGACTCTCTGTCTCTCTCTGTCTGTCTGGCGAGCGCACGTGCCCTATGACCAAAACCTCTCAAAAAATAAAGAAAAATGTAAAATGAAAGAAATAGAAATAGTACATTTTAACTCTCTTTTCTATTCACTGCATGCTTGTATTTTAAGCTGCTTTGCTTTGCTGTGATCATAAAATTGTCATCGACCAGGTTGTAAATATCCTATAAAGGATATAGTCTCCATTTACAAAACTATTGATACTCTGCAAGTAAGAAAACTCAACCAAAGGATAATTTTGAGATGAACATCTTTGAAATAGGATGTATAAATGTGGGTTAACTTTTATGAGTTACTAATTCTTCTCAGTAATAAACATTTCTTTGCTGAATCTCAAATATATAAAGAAAAATCTCACCTAGGTTAGCTTCAAATCTTCCTAGAGAAATATCACAGAACATCAGATTTAGAAACAACTTTGATGGTGATAAATCCATTGGTAGGTTAGGGGGGTAGTATTTAAGTCACATCCATTTTAAAATATTTTAAACTACTAATACAAAAAGTCTGTATAATATTTTCTTTTCCACAAAGAGTTTTGTCCTTTTTTATTAACATTGCTCAAAACAGAAAGACAGATAATTAGATATTAAATGTATTTTAAAATTTAAAATAAAGGATATATTTCTACTTGGGTCAATAACAAAACATTAGCTATTTTTCCTTGTACCTTCAAATAAAACTCTCCAAATCTTTCAACTTCCATTTCTTTTTTTTCTTTCAGAGGTTTTTTGTCTTACAGCACGAAACAACAGACTTCCATTAGAAACAGAGGAAAGAAAGAAATAGTCTTACATCTTGCATTCACCAGAGAGAGAGACAAATACAGTGAGAGAGGGAAAGTAAGAAATCACTACCAAGGGAGATGGTCACACCGCAATCTCTTCTCCTCCATTTTCCTCCCAGGATCGTGGGCACACACACACACACATACCCGGCATGAGTTTTATGACACCAGGTCTGGGACTCCAATCACAGTTGGCTATGTGGGAATCCAGTGATGCAACCACTATGCCATCTAATAGTCTCTCAATGTCCATTTCAATGAAGCCTCCCTGTCCTTTTCAATCCACATTGATATCTTCCTTACTCTAAATGTCTATATATAATTATATATAAGTTGATACTAAATATGGTTTTATTTTGCTACCAAATGGTCTACATGTGTTTACTTTTATTTCACAAACTAGTCTATAAACTTATGAGTTGAAGAGATGGGGATTAGTGATAGTGTAGCAGAGACTGCTATTGATCACTAAAAATCTATTTCCTACTCTTCCTTAACACACAATATATTAGAAAAAATTTGCAATAGTGTTAGAAAATTTGCAATAATGTTACCATTTAACATAATATTTACTTACAAATGTTTAGATTGTTTTGTTAAACATTGTAGCTTGCAGAAAATATGTTGTAGCTTCCCTTAATCTATCAGTGTATGTCTCAAGTCTGAGTTAACGATTCAATGTCACCATAAGAACAGAAACAGGATCATAAATGTCATGTGAAAGGAAAAGGTGCACATAACAATTTGGGGGAATTCATGAGGGTGAAAATAACACTGAACTAGCTAAATTTATGTAATAGATAACAACAGATAAACAAAAAGTATAGCAGTATAGAACATGCTGGAAATTTCTGTTCAGGGAGTGAGTAGTGAGTTTGTTAGCTCTCAGCAACTCCCTGAGCTCCTACACAGCTAAATAAACTCTGTTTCTTCCTCTCTGCTTTGCTTCTCAGTTATTTACAGAAACAGCTGCTGGATTTTAGCTGGCAACATAACCCACACTGGATGGGAATACACAATACAGTCCTGATCTCCCCTTTTAGAAAGCCCACAGAATTTGTCAATTATGATACAATATTACTTTCAGTCTTTTGTTTATGTTCAATTAAATCAGTTTCTCTATTTTTTTTTTTATCAAGAAGCCTTGTCTTTTCCATAAGTTCTATGAGTATGCCATACAGAACCAGGAACATAGTACACGTTCAATAAATAACCATTTTATAATACAGTCAAACTGTACCAGTTTTATTCCAAAATACAAAGTGCCCAGAAAAGTAATCTGTAAAAATATAAGGCAATACATAATATTCATTATTATCATCATCAATTATACTTTTAATCATTTGTAGCAACAAAACTTTGATATTTTCAAGTTATTTCTTCAAAATTAATTTTTCTCTGCCGACTTGTTCCATTATGGTGAAATATTAAGCAGGTTGAATAACATCATTGAAATTGAACTCTGAAAAAAGCCTTACCAGACAAGCTCAAATGCAAAAGGCCTTTAATGCACTTACCACTTTCAAAGCAAGCATCAAATATAAGATGTCCTTTCTTGGGCTGTCCGCAGTATCCAGTTGGAAGCACCAGATATTTGCTCACATTCCCTCCGATGGCCTCATCATTTACCATGTCACTGCCTATTAAAAATAATAATAACTAATTTTAAACAGAAATAAAAGTGTACTTAGTAATAGGAACCTAATAAGATTCTTTAACATTAATTTATCCCTTTATCCAGTTATCAAGAGCTTACACAGGCAAAAAGAACTTAACTACACATTATGGTAAAGTGAAAAAAGGATACACTTTGAAATCAGAAACATATGGGCTCAAATCTCACCTCTATTACTAGTTTTCTGTGATCCAAAGTAATCAGCTTCATACCTTCAAGCCTCAGTTTTTCTCATCCATAAAAAGGGAACAGAAAACCCACCTACCAAAGTTATGTTATGAGAATTAAATTTTTAAAAAAATCATTACTGAAAACCAACGATGTGCATTAAATTGGTAATATATTTAATTGGTCACAAATATATATATATGTGTGTGTGTGTGTGTGTGTGTGTGTGTGATTGTTTTAGTTTTAACAAAGCAATAGTTCTATAAATAACATTATGACTTCTAAGTGTTCTACCACCAGAAACTATTTCCTTCCAGAAGCTTTAGTTTTAAAAAGTTTGGAAAGTTTCTCTTTTACCTAAGATACAGAAAAACAGAAAAAAACTTCATTTCCACCTTAACAAGAAATAACCCAAAAACATACAGACTCATAACTTTCTCAAACCCATTAGTGAGCTGAGGTGACGGGGCAACCAAACCATGTGATATCAAAGGAAAGTCAGGTCCCACCAAAAAGATGATAAGCAAGCTTTGATTCCTCTATGGCAAAGCCCAGTAAGGAGAAATGTTAATTCCCATAGAAGTAACCAAGAAAATTTAACTTGTTTAATTTTATTTATTTCTCCTGAGAGAGAGAACCTCTGAAAGGATCTTGATGCCTCAGTCTACTCCCAACCTTCAGCCAGCCCTAGATTCTAGATACACACATGTTCAGCATACTCAGGAAGGCCTCCAGACCTGAACTAGGAACCTCTCATGTGGGATTACTTTCCAAAGCATCATATTTTACCACTACACCACCATCTAGGCACCCCAACACATATTTTTAAAGTATGAAAGTTCAAGTATGGGAAATATAGAACTATGTAACTATTGGTTATAGTTATACACAGGAAATTTAAAGAGGGAATTATAGATAAACAGGAGATTCACACCAACTTCCAGATTATTTGTTTGGTGTATGGGCCTCTACCAGATGTTCAGGAGAAATATTAGGGCAAGCCAAGATTATGCCATTAGGAAAGAAATAAAAAGTCTAGTGGGACCAGCAGTCATAATGGCTATGTCGCCGACTCCCATGTAGTCAACCACAATTCGAGTGCTGGACCTGGTGGCTTAAACTCACGCCAGGCATGTGTATGTGTGTGCCCAAGATCCCGAGAGGAGAATGGAGGAGAAAGGATTGCAGCACAGCCATTCCCCCTGGGGGATGATTTCTCGCTTTCTGTCTCTCTGTCTCTCTCTGTCTTTCTGGCAAACATACATGCCCTATAGCAAAATCCTCTCAAAAGAAAAAAGCCTATCATCACAGTGCATAAAAGAGAGGTACCACAAGAGGAAAATAAAAGAAAAATTCCCACACCCAGAGGAGGGGCAGGAAACAATCCTGAACCCAAGATTCTGCATCAACATTTTAGAAGGTACCTATATGTGAGGGAGAAGCAGAAAACTGTCTCACAAGAGATACATCAGGGGCCAACAGTGGGGCAATGGTAAACCTTGACCCTCTGATACCCTTAGGAAGGTTCCAGATACTCTTCTCTCAAGAATAAAGTAACCCCAGAAGAATTTGAAGTCACTGGCAAACAATGAAACTCAAATCCAGCTTAACCACTAGGTTAACACAATTCCCCCATAGGAATGACCCAGGAAAGAGGTATATGCATTACCACAAACAAATAGCATTTATATCATTCCCTGCTGTTCTAGACTAAATATCCATTGTTCAATCGAAAATGTGGGGACATACAGAGATGAGAAATGTCTTCAATGCACTCATCAGCAGACTTGACACACTGAAGAATGAATCAGTGAATTCCAGATCAATAGAAATAAGCTGAACAGAAACGCAAAGAGAAATAGAAAAGGAAAAAGAGAGAGAGAAAGCAGAAACCAAGAGCTTTGAAACAGTTTCAAGTCGTCTAAAATATGTAAGATTTAAATTCCTGAAGAAATTTGAGAGATAATGGGACAAAATAAATATCTGACAGTATAATTCCTGAGAATTTTCTGAAATTAATTAAAAATATCAACTACAGACCAAGAAGCACAAAGTAGAATAACTGTTTTTTGTTTTGCTTCAATTTTAGGTTTTTCCATAGGGTGTGTGTGCTCACTGCAGAGGGACTAAAAAAGAAATAGAGAGTAAAAGTGAAATATTATTCCCTGAGGGATGACCACAATACTGTCCCTTTTCCTCCAGTCTCCTCTCAGGATTTTAAGAATGCACGCACTTATGCTCAGAGTGATTTTCAAGCCACTTCCTCCAGGACTCAAACCATGTTCTGTCATGTGGGAGTCAAGCACCTTAACTACCATACCACCATCTACCCCTGAATAAATGTATTTTTAAAAACTAGATATTCCATATTTTTAAAAAAATTATATACAAAGGAACAGAGATTTTTAAAATTCAGCAGATTTATCATCAGAAGGCCAACTCACAGGTTGGTGGTTAAGACAGCTGGATCCCAAATGACTTACCATGCAGTTCAAGTCTTGGACCTAGTGGCTTGAAAAACATGCCAGGCATTTACACATGTATGCCCAAAGTCCCAACAGGAGGGAGAAATGAAGAAAGGATTATAGCATGACCATGGCCCAATGGGGTATGGGGAGGAGTCTTTCTTGCTTTCCCACTCCTGTGTTCTTTCTCCTTCCCTCTCTGTCTCTCTGGTAAACATTGACATTCTCTGGAAAACATTTAAAAAATTAAAAAAAAAGATTTTGCATCATAAACTTTTCAAATCAGAAGATAAGGAAAAAACATATTTAAATTACTTTTTTTAAAAACTGTCAACCTAAAAGTTTATACCCATTGAAAATATCTTTTGAAATATCAAGGCACAATAAAAGCATTTTGTGGGGAAAAAAAAGAATAAATTATTGGTAAGTCTATATTATAAGAAATATCAAAGAAAGTTCTTTATGTAGAAGGGAAATTATACTATAAGACTAAGATCCACACATAGAATTGAAGGCTCCAGAAATTATATAAATGAAATTAAATATAAATGTTCTTATTTTTAATCACTCTAAAAAACAAATGCAGGTTTTAAAAAGATAGTAGCAATGTATTGTGTGTTTATGCCATATGAAAGGGAAAAATACATGGCAACAATAGCACAAAAGATGGAAGGTAGCAATTGGGAATACATTGTTCCACGTTTCTTAAACTACATAAAAAGTTGTATATACTACTTAAAAGTAGGTGAACTACAATAAATTAAAAGGGCATATTGAAAAGTCTAGGATAAACACTTTAAAATAGTTATAAATTGAGGACCAGCCAATGGCATAATGGCTATGTTGCTGGACTCTCATACAGTCTACCACGGTTTGATTTCCAGACCCGGTAGCTTAAACTCATGCCGGGTGCATGTGCATGTGTGCTCAAGATCCTGAAAAGAGAATGGAAGAGAAGGGATTGCAGTGTGGCCATCCCCCCTAGGAGGGTGATTTTGATTTCTCGCTTTCTGTCTCTCCATCTCTCTCTGTCTTTCTGACGAGCGCATGCACCCTATAGGAAAAAAAATTATAAGTAACTCAATAGTGAAGATAAAGTAGAATTAAAAGAAACAACCAATTAATCAAAAGAAGGAAGAAAAAATTTTTTAAAAAACGGGAGAAAGGGAACAAAGAACAGATAGTGCAAACAAACAAAAACTAGTACATTCTAATTAAATTCAAACATAACATTAAACAATCTAATATTTAGAGAGCAGCAGATGGCCTAACGGTTACGTAACTGGACTCCCACATAGTTGACCATGGTTCGAGTCCCAGACATAGTGGCCTGAAACTCAGGCTGGGTGCATGTGTATGCATACCCAAAATTCCAAGAGGAGAATGTAGGAAAAGGTAGTGAGGCATGACCATCACTGGGGAGAGGGGTGATTTCTCGTTTTCTGTCTCTCTCTCTCTCTCTCTCTCGCAAAGTGCATGCTCCCAATAGCAAAAATCTCTAAACTAAATAAATAAATAAATAATCTAACATTTAATTTAGATCATTTAATGATATGTTTAATAGACAAAGACTGCCACATTGGATAAATTAGGAAAATACAATGATATGGTTATCTACAGGAAATCAAGTATAAAGACATGGATAGCTTATAGGCAAAAGGATTGAAAAGAAATGCTATGCAAATAATTATCAGGAAAGAGAGAAGTTATATTAAAATTAGAGAATACAGACAAGAAAAAGAATTAAAGCCAGTAATAAAGAGAAGTATCACATAATGATAGGATATATACTTCAGCAGAAAGACATAATCCTAAGTGTATGGGTATATGCATGTAAGAATAGAACTTGAAAATACACAGAACCAAATGAAGACAAAACCGAAGCTGGATGTGGGCAGTGGACGTTTTTCCACCAAGAGCCAGAAATGGCAGTGAACATATATTCAACCTCACCAGTGATAACATAAGTCGACATGACATGTTGGCTTTGATCAATGAATCTCTGTGGTTGAATCTGACAAAGATGGAACAGTTGTGCTCAGGGGCAGCTTATTGTCAGTTTATGGACATGCTTTTCCCTGGCTCCATTGCCTTGAAGAAAGTGAAATTACAAGCAAAGCTAGGACAGGAATATATCTAGAATTTCAAAATACTACAGGCAGGGTTTCTTTTCTTTTCTTTTCTTTTTTAAGAATTATTGTATTTAACTCTATTTACTTTAATTTGACCAGAAAGGGACAGAGATTGAGAGGGAGAGAGGGAAAGTGAGAAAGCAAGCCACCAGGTCCAGGACTCAAACCATAGTCAGCCATGGGAGTCCAGTGCCCT